CCGCAGCACACTGTACCCCACAGCGGCTCACCTTTTTATCTGAAGGCGCAATTCAGCACAGTCCTCTGATAAGCGGCTGTTATCTTCTTCCAAGGTTTCCAAGGCCAGCTTCAACTTACTGTTCTCCTCCTCTAGCTTCTGCTTGTTGACATGCAGGTCTGCTACGTAGGCAATCAAATCAGACACCTCTCTGCAGACGAAATAAGGAATGAGAATAAATAACCTTCAACATGTTTAATCCCTTCCAATCAAAATAAGGCATATGGCTAAGCCCAAATAGGCTTAAATATTCCTGTGAGATTTTCTACTTTACCCTCACAAATGGAGCTTAGACAATAAGCATTTATTCAAGCATTTGTTATAATAGTATGAAAGGTTGGTCCGAAGTTGCCAGGTATTCATCTGCCAGTTGTCAAGTCAGCTAGCACAGCTTTTCTTTCTTTCCGCTTCACTCACAGTGTTTGTCTCCATCTACCTGAAGAGGTCCTATTTCTGCCTGGGTTATGGGAGATCCTAAAATAGACACATTAGTCTCAGTCAAGGGATCTCGGCAGGTTTTAATAGGCCTTTAACTAGAAAACAGTTCCGAGAGTCTTACATTTGCAGCCTGTACCTCTCCATTTAGTGTTCATGTTCCCTGATATTTTCTACAGCTTGTTAATGTTTGTGAGTGTCACTCTTGCCACCAACATTAGATCATGAACCCTGTGAAAGTCTGGATTGCATGTCTCATGGAGTCCTAGGCCTCCTCCTCTTCTTTGCCATTTTATCCGAGTTCTTAGCACAGGTTTAATACTTGGTTTTTAAACCACCTTTTTGCATGAGTAAATCTGAAGTGACAAAGATAAACTAAGGGAGAGACAGAATCACCTCTCCCTAATATCTAAAACACACACAATTTAGTCAAAAAACAGCTTTTCTCTTTAAAAGCATTGACTAAAGAAGTGCTTTAAAAATAATCTCCCAAAGAGCATAAGGTCAATGTCATAACTCTACTTCAAACGGAACTTGTTTTCCATGGAAAACACATGACGTCAATAGAGGAGAAGGGTTCCATGAGTGCGAAAATGTTAATTATGCAATACTAGTCTTACATAATTTGTGTCCCTAGTGAAACTAGTTCTAATGCAATTCAGACAGAATAGTTAAAAGTTAAAGGTAAATGATGTTAGACCTAGATGGTGTGGCTCAATTGGTTAAGCATCGTCTCGTGCACTGAAAGGTGGCTGGCTCCATTCCTGGTCAGGGCACATGCCCAGGTTGCAGGTTCGATCACCTGGTACGGGAGGCAACCGATTGATGTTTCTCTCTCACATCTATGTTTCTCTCTCTTTCTCTCTCTCTCTCTCTCTCCCCCTTCCTGTCTCTAAAATAAATCAAAACTTTTTTTTTTTAAAAAGTAAATGATGTTAGCTCTCCTACTAAAAAAGGGCTAAGTGACTTCATCATAAGTAAAATACATAAGTCTATAAAATAATAAAACATGGTACCCTTGAGAAAGCATTACAACTAAGAATGCTTACAAGACTCCTCTAGACACGTCTCCGCCCAAAGCCTCGAAGCTCCCTGATGCAGACTCTGTTACATCTGTAGTCATCTTAACTGAAACACATACAAGAGTGTTGCATGAAAGATCCACTTCTCCAAGGCACAAGAAAGTGGCAGAACCGTCACAAGGAAACCCGCACATACTTGCTCGCCCGGATTTCATGCTGTCCTGTTCAAGAGCAGAATTGTCAATGCTGCGGCCTGATCCACTATTCACTCCTTCCCTGTGGCCAAAAAACAAAACCAATGAGCTGGGATTCTTTGCCTGACCAAAGCTTAGCTAATTTTTCAGATGCACTCTGTGCTTTCCTATTTGAGTGTTTGTTTCTGGATTTTAAAACCATCTATTCATTCAGCAACTATTTGAGGCCCAACACTGTGCTTAGGTAAGGTAATAGAAAAGAAACATAATACATTAATTCCTTCCACCTTCCATAACCTTGTTTTCTTTTAAAGAATTTCTCTTTAAAAGCATCTGACATGAAAAAGAAAATGTGCATGCATAAATACGTAGGTGATTATGAATAGCAGTTATGGTAGAAGGCCTCATGGATTCGGAAGTTAAAATAGTTTGGAGTGATAAGTGAACACTTGTGGAGGTAGCAAGGCCATGAGCCTTAAAAAATTGAGAAGGAAAAGACATAAACAACTAATATTTTGAGGCACATCGATGGTGTTATCCTTTCTGTTTCTCATGGAAAACCAAGTTGAATCTAGACTAATTGTACTTTGAGCATTTTACTCTTGAAATATGGGGAAGTGCACAAACTCTAGCTCTAAGCCTCCAAACAAACAAAGGAAAATTTCTATTGTTTTCCTAAGAGTATCTATATTATGATTTAACTTTTGTTACTTAATCTTTCTAAATTCCAAATCCTTTCACTATCTCTCTGGAGCAGCCACAAAATTCTCTAAATTTGTACTTACATCTCATTGTGTTTCCACGTGAGATGTCTGTCAAAAGGTGGCTAAGCAGAAGTCATACAGCATTCTTACTATTCCTAACTACATACCCATCACCATTCCTGAGTTTTTGTTTTTATAATTTGTATTTATACCTGTTTTTTCTTTTCCTACCATATGTTATAAAAACTAGAGCCCGGCTGGGCATGGCTCAGCGGTTGAACATCGACCTAGGATCCAGGAGATTGAGGTTCGATTCCCGGTCAGGGCACATGCCCGGGTTGTGGGCTCGATCCCCAGTCAGGGGCGTGCAGGAGGCAGCTGATCAATGACTCTCTCATCATTAATGTTTCTCTCTCTCTCTCTCTCTCTCTCCCCCTCTCCCCTTCCTCTCTCTGGAATCAAAGTTATATTTAAAAAACAAAAAACAAAAAAACCACAAAAAACACTAGAGACTTTCTTTTGCTCTCATGCCATTTTATAAGTGGATTATTGATATTTTTATTATATAACCAAATTTAAATATTTTAGAAAAATGAGAAAATTCATGAGAAAAGTTAAAACCATCATGCAAAAGGTAATAATTTTGGAATACTTTTTCAATGATTTCCTATGCATATTTATTACAAATGTGGGCTTATACTACATATATGAATTAATGGCCTGTTATTTGAAATACATATATATGAATATTTCTCTTGTCAAATATTTGTCTAATTATAATTTTGAGTCACTATTTAGGATTCTAGTGTATGGAAGTATTACAATTTATTTGTCCAACCCTCTATCTTTAAATATTTAGGTTGCTTATTTTTATCGCCATCATAAACAGCATTCTACACACATATTAGAGTACGTGATTGGTTATTTTCCTTAAAGTTACATTACTAGCTTGAACACATCACATTTTTTTAAGGACTTAGTACACATTTATAAATTGCTCATGAAAACCACTGCACTACTACCAACAATGTATGAGAGTGGACTTTATTTTCCACCTGCCCTGACAACACGGGATGGAGTGATTCTTTTAATTCTTTGCCAAACTAATGGGCAAAAATGGTATGTTGTCTTTATTTGCATTTCTTTGATTACTAGTAATATTCCATATTTTTATATATTTACCTTGCTTTCCCGATTAACTCACGTACTTTAAACACCGTTTCATTCATCTTTTCTTAAGTCATCTATACATCCTAACCCTGTGTGATGTACAGCAAGTTCTGCCACTCTTTGGGCTTGAGGTTTTCTTTAAGCAAATCCCTGCTACCTATCTGCTAATAGCTAGAGCTTGGTGGCTGAGTAAAAGCCACAGGAATTGACTTCCTGTGAAAGAGGGTGACTCTTCTCCAGTATCCATCAGGGGCACCCGAGATCTGGTGCCATTTATTTTTATAATTTTTTCTATCCCACTGTATGTCTCCTTTTCCCTTTTGCTTCCCTATAGTTGAGGCTTCTAAATTACACTCGCTGCCTAAACACCCCCACTGACCTCAAAAGGGCGTTCACTTTGAGTTTAAGTGCATCTGGAGATTTGTTGGTCAGTACCAATGATCTGCTTGACTCCTATGCCAGCTCAGTTCTTTTGGAGACCATAATACGTGCTGCCCCCTAATCACATAAATGAATGTTATCAGAATTAGTGTAATTAACATAATAGGTTCTCAAAGTGTGCCCTTCGTCAGCATCACCTGGAAACAATTTAAAATGCAAATTATCAGGCTTCATCCCAGACATACAGAATCATGACAGAGATGTGGGATGTGGGGGATAGGAGATGAGGGATGGGGTGGGGG